TGGGCGCAGTTTGTGCTACGCTATCTACGCTAGCCATACTGAACTGCGCCTGCGCAAGGCTACGCTACTAGCACTGGTCATCGACACGCTCAGCGGGCCACGGTAAAATTATCAAAGGCTGACTGGTCCGCGGCGATAAAAAGGTTGGGGACCACTGCTCTAGGTAATGGGGGTAATAATTCATGGCAAGAAATAATAAGAACACAGCTGTCACTTGGCTATTTGCCACCAAATAATGCAATGGGATAAGACTGGGCCATCCTGATTTACTCTTAGTTTACAGAGATGGTAATAATTGTGAACATCACCCTGGGACATGTGAACAAATAATGCTTTCGGTGTTTTTCCAAGCAGAAAATTGAAATTAATAAACTCTATATTTAAAAGAGTTAACAGCTTGTGACCTACGAAGTTTAAGCTACTTGTCGAAACTCTTAATCTTGTCCAAGAACATTGTACTCTCAGTTTGGATTATTGAGTAACATGCTGTTATTTAACTCTTATGTTATTATAATTTTTCAAAGTTTTAATTCATGTGCTATGGTGCAGTCTCTTTCCTGTGACTTGGGAATGAATCAAAGCAGTATATCCCACAAAATCCTGAATATTTTCTAACTCTTCCCTTCAAGATGAATAACTGTGTTAGAAGATGAATAATTGCGTTAGAAAAGGGAGATAACTTCATTTTTATATGAGTAAAATAATAAATCTCCATCTCATTTCCTTTTGTTTCAGCATTACTATTCTGGCATTTCCCCTTTGCATGTTTGAAGTTGAAATGGCCACAGAGGTGGACCAACGAAACTAGTCTGACCTGTCTCTGATTATTCACATTTAAAAAATTTAACTTTTCCTGAGTTCTTTGAACATTAGAGACTTATTTTAAAATTGTATTAATCCAGTTAAACATTAGAGGAATTAAAAACATACATTAAAACAATGTTCTTTCAAGCAATTTAAAAAAATAAAATCTGTCCTAAAATTGTGAATCTCATATTCCAGCATATTTTCTGGAGATCTGCTCAGAGTAGTCAAAATTCTAAATAACTGAACAGTAGAATATATCCAAAAACATAATCTTTAAACAATGGATCTTAAGTAATTTTAATCTGACAAAAGAGATTAAATGCTAATGAATAACTAAGGCTATTCTAACTTTGGGAACGTTTCTTCCCAGTCCTATATTACTAAACAGGAAAACTAGTTTCCTGTCCTTAATCTGTCACAGAAAATAGCACTGTTGACTTTGAAGGTTTTTTTTTAAAATGGGAGAAAGAGCAAATAAAACTTGGTGGTTAACAACAAAGATTCCTAAATCTGGTGGTAATAAATTGCAGTTTTAAACATTAGAATAGGAATCGCATTTTAGAAAATTCCAAAACAAAATAGAGGGAGTTCATAGTGTGGCTTATTGATAAAGTATATGAGATGGAACTCTTTACCCAATAATATATGATTTTGGGTGTTCTTGCCAATATTCTCCCTGCCCTATTTTATGCCATGATTGTATGAAGTAGAAGACATTGGTTTTGTTTATTGCTTCACATTGTATTAAATTTAGGAAATATTAACAGAATCACTGTGGAAGGGTTGTTTTTTGTAATCTGAAGAGGTCAATTGTGCTCCTTCTGTTATATCATAGATATATAAAACAATAGACAATCTCCACAGTTTATCACTAAGTAATAAAAGTTTCACTAATGTTGCATATAATACAACATGGTTGGTAAGACTCACTGGGTGCAGTTGTTAAATATAAATTGTATTCTCTCTTGATTTCAGCAGAAATGTAGCAGTGATATATTTTTCTGTACTACTTTATTTTAGGCAGAAGAAGAAGAAACTAAAGAACGTTTGTTTGAATCTTTACTGAGTGAGTGTCGGGATGCAATACAAGCCGTTCGTGAAGAGCTGAAGCCAGATCAGGTGGGCCATCAAGTAGAAGTTTTGTGCATTTGACTCTCCTTTGGTTAGAAAGGCAGGATATAAATAAAATCATTACTGAGTCTGCTTGAAGAACTCTTTGATGCTAGGTCCTACATGATCCTTTGTGAAGCTATAATAAATTGCACCCATCCCACAGTTTTCTTTGCATCCAAACATTATTTTCTAAAATAAATAAATTACACCTAATGTTTTGTTTCCTACAGAAGCAGCGGGATCATTCTTTGGAAATAGATTTTGGAAAAGTCACTAATATTCAGTATCTGCACAGGTAAAGAGCCTTTCTAGAAATGCATGACTCTAAGGTTAAAATCATTCAGGACAAATAGTGGGACCGCTTGGGTGTCATCTCACTCTCTTGACTGCCCAGCTCATCATCTATTAGCAGCTTTGTATCTATTCAAATGATTCTGAAGTGACTTTTAGTAATATGCAGTTTTTAATACTCTGCTTTCTAGTTACCTGACTTACATCAAGCTGTCTACAGCAATCAAGCGCAATGAGAGCATGGCAAAGGCACTACAGAAGGCACTCCTTCGTCAGCAGCAGCCCGAGGAAGATGGCAAGCGTGTTCCTCGACCTCAGGATTTGATACGCCTTTATGACATCATCTTACAGGTAAGCATGTAAGTGGTTTAGCAGTGGAAGGGAGAGGCGTATGATTCCAGTTTTCTTTTATCTCTAGCAAGGTGACTGCAAAGTAGATGGGGAAAAGGTGGGATATTAAAATGGAGGTGCAGGTCAGACAGGGCATGCAAATTGGTCGCATCAGAATCTATTTCTCCATTTAAAAAAGGGTAGAAGTGTTGAAAATAAAGAGGTTTTCTGAAATTTTGCTTTATGCAAAATAATATTTTCATGATCACTAAATATAATAAACATATACCTTACTTTTAAGGATCACACAAAAAAAATCTTCCTAAATAATTTTAATAATTACAGGTTATTTTTTTGGACAGCAGAAAAAGGGTGTTACCTTGTAAAGAGATTACACTATTTGCTCATTTCTGTACTATTGTATCGATTTGTTAAGCAAATAGTGCTAATTAAAGTAAATGAAATTATTTTTGGTTTACCACTGTCAAATTTATTTAATTGGATTAAATATTTATTTATACTGTTAGTTGTGAAGTTTATTTACATTTAAGGGCTTTTTTTTGTCTTCTCATTTTGATCACACTGAAGAATCTGGCAGAATTGCAACAACTTCCTGGCCTAGAAGAAGATAAAAGCTACCTGAAGGAAATAGGAATAAAGACCTTGGTGTATAAGGCTTACCGGTAATTCCCAAACAAACAAAGTTACTTATTCAGTCACAGTTAAGCAATCACAGTCATACAACAATACTTTAATGAGTGCCAAGAGAAAAGATATTTGTGCTATTCCATGAATATTTGTGATAGTGGTAGATGTTATTTCTGCTACTTTTCATTACCCTGGAGGTGTCATTATAATACATGCAGAATAAATAAGGAAGACAGAGATTCCAGATCATAAAAAGGAACTTCATAGAAATATATACAAGTAGAAACACACTGAATTTGGAGCCACTTTTCTCATTTTGATTTCTTTTTTTAAGCCACATTTATATGACTTGAAAAGTCCTTTGACTATTATAATACATCCAAAATGGAGAACTGAGGAGATAGCAGGACAAGAAACCGAGTAAAAAAAGTCCTTGACTTACTCATTTAGTGACCGTTCAAAGTTATAGTGGCACTGAAAAAAAATGACTTATGACAATTTTTCATAAATACGATCTTTGCAGCATCCCCACGGTCATGTGATCAAAATTCAGATGCTTGGCAACTGATTCATTTTATGACCATTGCTGGGTCCCCATGTCATGAGATCACTTTTTGCGACTTTCTGACAAGCAGAGTTGATGGGGAGCCAAGTTGATTTAACAACCAGGTTATTAACTTATCAATTGCAATGATACATTTAGCAGCTGAGTCAAGAAAGGTCATAAAATGGGGCAAAACTCACTTAACAAGAGAAATTTTGGTCTCAATTGTGGTCGTAAGTCGAGGACTACCTGTAGTGAGTTCAGAATTGTAGGAAATGTTCCAGTTATTTCTGTAGAAACAACAATTTCATTGTTTCTTCCCCTTCCTGACATAGTACCTCCAGGCAGTTCAGAGAGGAGGATGTAAAGTAGGAAAGTCAGGGTGTGAATAGTTTCAAGAAAATTGTGCTCACAGAGCAGGGGTGTCAAACTCATGTCATCACGTGACATACTGCAACTTTTCCCCTTCACTATATCAGGGGTGGGGTGGCCAGCATGTGATGCATCCAGTCCATGGGCCGCGAGTTTAACACCCGTCATAGAGAGTTGATATTTAAACAGTTAATTGAGACTTAAACTGTTGGTTGAGCCATAGTTTACTTGGTATGGTCTTCTGTTCCTCCTAGATGCTTTTTTATTGCCCAGTCATATGTCCTGGTGAAAAAATGGAGCGAAGCTCTTGTTTTGTATGATCGAGTGCTGAAATACGCCACCGAAGTTCAGGCTCAAGCTGGGACTAAAAAAAGCAACTTAAAGGTAGGAAACAAGTTATATTAACAGAGTTCTAAGGTGATGTAATGGAGGGCGTACATATTTACAATACAATACAATAGCAGAGTTGGAAGGGATCTTGGAGGTCTTCTAGTCCAACCCCCTGCCTAGGCAGAAAACCCGATACCGTTTCAGACAAATGGCTATCCAACATCTTCTTAAAGACTTCCAGTGTTGGGGCATTCACAACTTCTGGAGGCAAGCTATTCCACTTATTTAAATTGATTACAATCTGCTAACTGTAATGCACAGTTCTGATTCATTTTTTGAAACAAATTTATGACCGATTGCCCATTTTTAAGACTATAAAATCAAACTTTGGATTTGTCTCTCATTAGACAATGTGTCTGTGTGTATGAGAGAGAGAATGAGAAAGAGAATTGTCATTATACCACATATATTTGTATTTGGCAATTCAAAAGGGCATATGTATTTAATACTCCTTTTATCTTCCTAACAATGAAAAAGAAAGAAACATTAGCAAATCTAGTTTTTTTTGGGGGGGGGAATGAACTGAGCAAAAATGAAACTACTAAGTATATGTCTTTTGTGGAATTGGTCTGAATTATATAGGAGCTACCTGATGTTCAGGATCTGATTACTCAAGTAAATGCAGAAAAATACTCCTTGCAAGCAGCTGCCATATTAGGTGAGTGGCTTTCCAGATTCCCACATACACAGTATTCATTGGGAAATGCTTTCAAGATTCAAGAGGCAGGGTCTGCCAACGTTTCAGAATGGAAGGCAGGAGTGGCTATGAAGGACTTGCCTTTGTTTTAACATGTGGTTCTATAGTTTTATTTTTTCAGTGGCTTGACTGGGCGATTATGGAAAGAAAAAGTAATCATTTTATACTGCCCCAATAGCTGATAGGGAAGAAATATTGGCTCGGTCCAAATTAAAGTCATAAATTAGACTTTAAAACATCTTTGCCACAATCCAATTTTTTATATTCACTGCCCTGTCAAGCTGTATTGATTTCTGTAGACCATTGGGAAGATAAAGTTTTGACTCTTAGATAATATTGGTTTATGATCTGTTCACCTGTTGCCTTCACTGCTGCATATTCTGTCCACTTCTGTTCATCCTTTCACACCTAAAACGCCTCCTTTCTAACTAGAATTCTGCCACCAAGATAATTAACTTCTGATGTTCTTCAGAGCCATAAGTACCTTAGAGATTGAAGGCAAGCTCCTTTTGAAGTCTGTTCTCTCTTCTGATGTGTTGCTCCTTGTAAATTTCAACATTGTCATCTATTCATTTGCTCAAATATGTTCCTTTTTTTCCTTTGATGCCAAAAGCCTTTTCTGTATAACTTAACTTTTATCTAAAATTATTAGCATAAGCTTATGCACTTCACTTAACATAAGAATGTATGGCATACTCATTCCTGTGTCAGACTTGGAACCATCCATTCCTTGACCCTTCTCTATAATAGTGTACTATATTCTATCTCTGTTTATCTATCTATCTATCTATCTATCTATCTATCTATCTTATCTATCTATCTATCTATCTATCTATCTATCTATCTCATTTATATGCCTGCCTATCTCACAAGAAGCAACTTTCAGTGAAATACAACAATATTAAGGAATGGTTATATAGTTAGCTTTGGCACAGGATAAAAATGGATATCATTGCAACATTTACATTTTAAGGAGAAAGATTGGAGATAAGCATTAGCATAAATTATAGACAATTTCATTGTTCACATTTTTAAAATGTAGCCTTACGTTCTTCTTCTGGTTTAATTCCTAGTAAATGCATTTTCCTCAAATACTTCTCTGGATTCTTTCAGATGCTGATGACAGTCATGAGGCAGAATCTCCGTCCCAGGTCAAAGATGGCAAAGTAAGCAACTTTCCATGTATACAGCACAATTTCAGAAGGAGCCTGATTTCTTATGTTATAGTGTGTCAGTATATAATTTGAATTACATAAATATGATGACAGAAATATTTAATTGTCCCTGTTCATTTAGAAAGTTTTGCATAGTATCATACAAAACAATGGATTTCATGGAAAAGCTCAAGAATAATCAGGGAGAACAGCATTCAGAAAAAAACAACAGAATGCCTCTTTAATTATGCTGCTTTGTTTTTGCAAAGCTAACATTAGAATAATGAAGAATTTTTAAAATACCCAGAAATTTAGTAAACTCCCTAAAGATTAGAAACATTTGTAGGAATCACGAGAGTGTTCTGTGTGCATTTTTCTATGCATAGCCTATGCATAATTTCAAAGAAAAGATTTACAGCATGAGCTTGGCAAAAATCTAAGATTTTTGAAAATTGAAGATTTAGGTGCATGATATTATAAAAATATTACATGTAGTAGCTCTCCTATTTTGGCACTCTTGATCAAGAATATGGGAGACTGATATTTGTCCATCTCCCAGCTCTTTGTGTGGATCAGGGATGGTGCCATGTAGGTTAGCAAGGGCGAGGGAGGCGTAGAGAGTGTTGTGAATGTATGCAAGGGGCCAGTGCAAGAGGCCAGTGCAGCACAAGACCAGAGCGGCTGGGGGAGGGTGTCCAGGTGTAGAAGACTGACACACACACCCCCCCCAATGACTTGCAACTTTCCCTTCCAGCTTCCCAATTAACTTTATAGGAAAGCTGGTAGGGAAGGTTGCAAAGGGCAGTCATGTGGTTATGGGGCGCTTATAAATGCAAAAGTGTTGCCAAGCATCCAAATCACAGTCGTGTCTACCAAGCTGCTGGGATGGCTGTAAGTCCAAGAACCAGTCATAACCACCATTCATTCAGTGCCTTTGCAACCTGGGATTGAACGAATGGTTATAGGTTGGGGATCACCTTAATCCTAACTGGGTTTCTCAAGAACAGCTTTGTGATAATATTTAATGCATCAATATTGCTTAGTCCTAATATTAACCAGCTCCACTAGAAACTTATACTTACATTTAATTTTCTCTAGTATTTCCACAGTAGATTTGGATAATTTTCTGAGGTTTCCTCAGCAACTATTCATACATCCATAATGGATGTACCTACTTCATTGCCTTGAATGCATTATCCAGAAAGTCAAATATTTCTGGAATTAGACTAGACCTAGGTTTTCCAGCTGTGGCAAGTTTCAGATGTGTTGACTTCATTTCTTCTCAACCATAGCCATGCTGGCCGTGGAATTGAGGAAGTTGAAGTTCATTTATTAGGGAAATGTGCAGATTGAGAAACTTTAAACTAGAGGGGTAAGTAACAAACATCGTCCAAATGAACTAATTTTTGTTCTGTTTATCTTCCTTTTTTATCAAGCCACTTTCTGAACGATTTGAGATTTTCTGCCTGGATCCTTCTCTTGTCAGCAAGCAAGCAAGCCTGGTGCATTTTCCTCCAGAATTCCAGCCAATTCCATGCAAGCCTTTATTTTTTGATCTGGCTCTCAACCACGTCACTTTCCCACCTCTAGAAGATAAAGTAGAGCAGAAAGCAAAGAGTGGTCTTACAGGATATATCAAAGGCATCTTTGGATTCCGGAGTTAACAGGGCTTTTTTCAAGGAAAATGTTTCCTTTATATTGGGGGAATCTGCAACAGGTTCAGACCTTATCTGCTTGAGTCTAAAATCCACATGGGAGGTTTTCAATATTTTTCCAGTATTCTGTCTGTCCATCCAATTTATTAGAAACATTTCAATCTGAGAACATAAAAAATGTGCTCTGTCTCCAGCCTTATCTTAAACTGAAGAAAATACCTGAGAGTCTGAATCCACTCATGCCGAGTGCCTCAGGCAGGAACAAGTATCCATTTTGTAATGATCATTTCTTTTGGGTAGCTGATACCACAAATTTAATTTTTAAAAAGCCAACTCAGTCGTCTGGACAAGACACAGCAGAGGGAAACCAAAGGCACAGATTTTTACAGAATTGAACTGCCTCAACCAGAATCTGTAAAAACTCAGTTTAATTAATCCTTGTACTGCCTGCCGAGTTTAATTTTCACTTCTAACTATGGATTGAAGATCAGAATTGATAGATTATGTTTAAACTACATATAGTAGGCTTTAAAGAATATCCTTTTATACTCTTTCCTTTAAAAGCCACCATTTCCTACTAAGTTCTTAGAGGATCTCTTTTGGGACTTAAAGAGCCTCAGCTTCAGAAAGTTATTCTCCATTTCTGCATTAAAAGCCCCCCCCTTTTTTCCCCCTCATTCAGTTTATTTGAATTGGCAAATCAAAAAGGATGCTTATTTTGTACTTTTCATCCTTTCTGAAAATCATAGTGGTTTTAAATAGTCCACTTTTTGAAAAATCAATAAACAAAACCACTGGAATTTTAAGTAATAAAGATTTTAGTCCTATATTAACAGATACTTTTTTGTGAGAACATTTACAAGTGTGGTAGGAATTCCAGTATCTTAATATCTTTTCCCAAAACGAAACAGAAAAAATATTATCTAGATACATCTTTTAAATGTGTTCTGTTTCCAGCTATATTATTAGTCTTAAATGTAATCTAGTTAGTCTGAAATATTACTTGGATCAGCTAGTCTTTAGTTATCTTTTAATGTTCATACAGCACCACGTTTTTGTCATACTCCGTTCCAGTTTCGCTCTGCTGCTTCTTGGCTTTGTTAAAAACAGTATTAAAATTGGATTATTCAGTTAGGAATGTTCCGCAAAAATAGTTTCTCGAGCATTGTGCTAATACACACTACAGAATTATAATTTCCAAACCAAATTGGGTGTAAGAATTGTACCAAAATTATTGAGACTCTTTATCTTGTATGAAAAGCTATCACAATTCTCATTAGGACTTAATTGTGCCACTTCTGTTTTAAAATACATGTGTGAAATGGACCCTCTGGTCTGTTGGATGAGTAGAATTTTATAGTAAAAACGTATTGTGCGAAGCAAAAAATATTTTTTACTGTATCAAGTGATTAAATTTGAGATTGAGTTTGGGACATGATAAACTGATAATTTATCAGTTCTCTTAAAAGGTTAAATGGAAATAATAGATTTGACTCAATAACTATGGCCCAATATCATTTTTGGCACTATGTCTGTTAGGGTTTTTTTTTTTGTGGGTTGTATTTTGCTTCAAACTTCCTGTCCTGATTTTGAATTAAATCCAAGAATTGTATTCTTAAGAGGTGCAATCCAACTTCTTTTTGTTTACCTCCAAACTTTTGGATAATTGGTACATTCCACTCCATTTATCTCTGCTGCCTTAATTAGTTATAAAATATTTGTTAAGATGTGGCACAAAGTATACTAGAAAGACAGAAAAGAACCCTTTAAACAATAAAGACATATTCTTGCTATAGTCAAGTTTTAAACAGTTTAAACAATTGAAGTGCATGCTGTGCTTTCATTTGAAGTTTCCTTACTGGAACATTTGAAGAACACCTTTGTAAGTAGTGGATTTTTCCCAGAAAAGTAAACATGACTTATTTAGTACAATAAAAATGTTTACTGTTACCATAAAAATGTGGACACCATCCACACACACACACACACACACATTATTAATTGGCACATTGTAGTATGTTATTTCATGTACTTGGCAAGAATAGATTGAGTCTAGTCCTTGACTTACAACCACAATTGAGCCCAAAATGTATGTTACTAGGCGACACAATTAAGTGAGTTTTGCCTAATTTTACAACCTTTCTTGCCACATTGGTTAAGTCAATCACTGCAGTTAGTAACATGATTGTAAAATAAATCTGGCTTCTCCATTAACTTTGCTGGTCAGGCACAAAACATGATCACATGACCCCAGGACACTGCACCTGTCATCAATATGTGCCAGTTGCCAAATGCCTGAATTTTGATTATGTGACCATGGGAATACTACAACGTTCATAAGTGTGAAAAATGATCATAAGTTGCCTTTTTTTGATGCCATAACTTCAAATGGTCACTAGAAAAAAATGGTAAGTTGAGGGCTTTCTGTATTTAATTGTCCTGAACTAATATGGTTGCCTACAAGTCATCAATATTAAACCATCGAAGCTCTGTATGTATGTAGTTATAAAGAAATTGGGATTTTTAATGTCTTGTTGAAGGTTGGGATTGAGGCCAGGAAGAATCTTCCAACAGTAATTAACACCCAGAAAGGCAACAATCATATTTATTGTTACATACCACAGCATGAAAGAAAAAAGGTTTACTGTAAAGTGCTCAAAACACCCACACAATAATCAATACTGCAGTTTCTATGGAGGAGCTACAACTGCCTAATAACGAAAGATTGTAAAATGCATTATTGCTTCATTTTTTTTCAGAATTAAATTACAGAATTTGGTCAACAAGCACATTTCTGGATATCATAAATTTACTTGCATATTCAGGGTGACAAATTGGAGTTTTGATATAAAATCTCAGTGAGTGAACTGTAATCAAAATAATGTCCATGGTAATAAAGTATACAAAATTTTAGTTGCTAAAATAAACTCTACTAGCAGGTTGCAATATATGTTAAACAGAATGGGGAAGAGCATCAAGCCCTGGGGCACACCACAATGGAGCAACTATGGGTGCCACCTTTCCCTGTCGTCACTTAGCATGCCCAGTCACAAAGTGGAACCATCACAAATAGATCTTCTAATTCTTTGCCCTATAGACAGTCTGAAAGATGCTGTACTTGGCCTATACTTCCTTAAAGTACCTATTAGGGTGACCAGGGAGACTTCAGTCCTGCTAATGATCCATATAATTTATTTTTTTAATTGTTGCCCCATTCTTTACAACCTTCATAAATGAGAATAGATAAGTGTGCCCAGGGCCTTGAGAAGTGGATGAACCAGTGCTTTCATGGCAGGTGGCATTCTCCCCTCTTACAAGAGACATTGAATGTGATTATTTACCTCCCTGATTCTTCCTGCCTGCTTTAACCAGGAGAAGCAGAGGTGAAGTGCAGAAGTGGCAAAGCTAGAGAAGAAATTTCTGCCCCTCTTTGGCCTCAACCCCCCCCCCCTATATGACATTGAAAGGCACTAGTGTCATTGGATCCTGCCTAGCCAGCTTTCAGTTCAGTGCAAACAGGATTTCATCTCAAATTATTAGCCTAATGACCACATCTTGAACTCACTGAAGTTCTTCCATACAATCTCTCCCCAGAAAGGAGAGGTCTTAAATAGTGCAGCTGGATGATATTGTGGAGATCTAGGGGGATCATTTTAACAAACATCGCAACAGAGTAGCCTTGAATCTGAATTCTTGCCACAGCCAGTCACATTCTCCTCTGGTCTTCCTCCAGTCATCTCTTTCCTCACTTTGTCTCCCGGAGCAAAAAAAGACAAACCAAAGATTTCAACAGATGCAGAAAGGCATCTCAGCAGCTATCCTGTCTAATGCTCTGTATATTCCAGAGGCTATCTAAATACACAACAGAACCAGTGCTGGGTTCCTACCAGTTTGGCTGAACTGGTAGTGGTTTGGTGGCTGGAACTAACAGGGACCCAGGGATGCGATACCCCCAAACCAGTTCTCCTGCCATAGGTGCCTTCATCTTATTTTTGACTTTTGCACATGTGCAGAACAATTTTTATTGTACTGCCCATGTGTGTGCAGCACACATCAAGTGTGTGCGCGCGCACTGCACTCCCACAATCAAATCAGCAGTAGTGGCTGCCAGAACCCACCCCTGGACAGAACTATTCGCCCTGAGTCTCTCGGGAATAGGGCGGCATACAAATTGAATAAACCTTAACCTTATTCCATTTCACTAGGGAAAGCCCCAAGTACCATTCTGAAAACCAGGATCTATTAAACATTCAGACAGGCCATACACAGTGCAGGCTGGTAGCTCTGGTTAACCCCATGGTCACAAGGCAATGATCAAGGTACTGGCAAAAACATCTGTGAACACCAGTTTATGTTTCATCTGGTCCAAGATAAAAGCCAGATCTAATGTGTGGCTGCCAATAGGGTTTAGGCCACTGTTTCTCAATCTTGTATATAACATAAAAATTCCGACATATATGCACACTTGTTGAGAGAGAAAATGTCTACAACTGTATCCATTTGCAAATGGCAATACCAGGTAGACAAAATGTGAGGAAAATAAGCATTGTATAGGAGAAATGATTATGATGGTGGCTAGATGCATAGATGTGCACACAAATACTTATAATTTGGCTGGGAATTTAAGAGAAGTGGTAAAGAACATGAATTGATTAATGAAATAAAAGATCAGATATTACATTGGATGTCTGTAAAACTAAGAAGAAGTGCAAAGATCTTATGGGATGCAGTTGAATTATGCAAGGAAATATAAGTTGTATTTATAAACAAAAGAGCTAAAGTACATGTCAGAAGAAATAAATTGGTTTCACTGAGATTGTGGTGGAACTCTAAAAGTGGTGGAACTCTAAAAATGGAACTCTAGGCTGGTGAGGGTTGCCTTTTATATGTCAGAGTATGGTCATGATGGAAGAATGATAAATTGAAAAAAATCACAAAATATGCAAAAATAATGGGACATGAATGTGGAACAAGTATTTTGTTGGATAAAAATGGGCATGGAAGTAAAGAGTGGGGGGGGGAACTAAGGGGAAGGTAGAATGTGAAGATTCTGTGGTATATACAGTATAATTGGTCTCTTAAGATTATGAATGAGGAAAAGAGAACTGATATAGAAACTGCCTAGAATTATGCATTATGGATAAACATATAAGGAATGGTTGTGGAAACACCACAGATACAATTATTGGAAATATGAATGCACTTCTAATACAGTTGATGCTGCACTTTCCAATGCTCCTTTTCCCTGTGGCTTTATCTGAACAAAGTTTAAGATTATCTAAAAAGCAGATAAAGTTAATAGAAAATTAGTCAAATAATGCTTAGCCTATCTCCAGATGTTCCTTTTAGTGCTCTGTCAGGTTACAATCTGAGATAGAGTCGAGAACATCAGCAAAAGTTTGCATTAGAACTGTTTGCATTAAGTTTGAAATTCCTGTTTCCTGTTCTTCTCATTTCTGTATGTATTGTACTTTAAGGAAGTACAACCAAGAAAGAAGTAGGTGTTGCTTTTGACTGAAGTAGAAGTTTAGTATGTATAAAGGTTGCATGAAAAGGTAAGCATTATCTTACTTTTCCCCTTTTTGGTTAACTTTTACTTTTCAGAAATAATTTTTTGCTCAGAATCCAAAATCCAACTGCCACTGAACTCTTGGTATTTTTATGTATTGCTTCACATCTTTAAGAGCTTGCCTTATTTAAAGAAATTGCTCACTTTCATGTACAAAAAATTCTGGGGAAGAAATTTCTTGAGAGAGATCCTCTAGCCTAGAGAAATACAAAACTCTTTCAAACTTCAAAACTTAACTGAGTGCAAAATGTCAACCTAAAATATTTCAGATAAAAGCATTGGAACCTAGCCGCTAACAAAACTGTCACTTTGAGACCTTGTACCCACTCTTTAGCTAACTTTTCTTTGTAAGTATTCAGGCCTAGACCAAAACCTTCTGATTATTGGATATTGGTGTGATATCATTTCCTTACCATAACAGTTGTTCCTTGGGTCTATTCCAAACAGTTGTGCCATGTTATTTCCACTTTGGAAAGGGGTGATGGTGGGTCTCTTTTTCACCTATGCCTTAGTGATAAAGCATAGATTCTAGAGTGCTGATTTAAAATCTGATCAGGAAGCTCTTATTTTACAATGTTCAGCAAGGAGATGTTTAAAGATATATGAAGTTTATAGCTTCTATTGCTTGAAACATCATTCTTAATGGAAAGTGTGTTTTTGTCTGTCTTCTCCCATGAGTCTTCTGTTCAGTTTTACAAACAGCATCATTACTCACTGCATAGCTCATCTTAACTGTAGTTTTTAAAACTGTTTTAAAAGTAGCTGTTTGCTTTTAACGTAAAGGTTTTTATCAGTGTTTTTAATTTTTTTTATTATACATGCGCCTTTTAGTATTTTTGATGTTTGAAATATATTAAAATTATTCTGTAATTTTATAAATATTTTATTGTGCATTGCATATTTGACATTTCAAACTGCCTTAAAACACTGCATTCCTTTTTTTGTTTTTTGAACAAAGTTTTTTATTTATTTTTTGTTACATGTTTTAACTTCTTTTAGAAACAAAGTGTTGTCCCGGTTTTTCCCGCCTTTACATCTTCTATTATGTATATTGTATTTTACATCATATTTCCATTTTATACTGCATTCATTAAGGCCCTTAAATGCTTTTAGATATAGACAGTCCCTCTGCCTCCTCATTCTCTTTCTGTCTCTCTTTCTTTCACACACACAAGGATGAAGTGGATAGCATGAGGTTGGGGAAATAGGACTAAGTCAGAAACATTGGTTGGGTTCACACATTGCATT